TAAGCAAAACGAACGTATCGATACTGCGCTGCAACCATTCAAAGGTGAGAGGGTGGAAAGACGAAGCCGAGGGTATCTGCAAAGCCGAGCGAATGCCCACGATTGGCATATGCCGGTGTGGAGGCCCAGCCCAGGCAGAACGGACAGGGAGGCTGGGAAGTCCCGCTCGAGGGTCCCGATGCCCGACCCGTTCGTTGCATGGCGACCTTGGTGCAGCACCTGGCGCGTGGGCCAAGGGTGCCCTCTGGTGCCCAGCTGCCATTAGAAGCAAGAAGCTCCACCATCTGAGCCTCTCCTAGCCCGGGAGGAATAAAAGGTTTCTTTTCTGCCAGAGCCTCCTCATTCCCCTCTCTGCAAATATGGATATAAGAAATTGAGGGGGGGAGTGCGGGACTAAACTGAGCACCCAGCGGGAGGAAAGAAGGGTCCGGTAGGAGAGCAGAAGGCATTCCCATCGCTTAGAAAAAGTTTTGAGAAAGTTTTGACTCCCCCTTATAAGAGAATAAGTTTCTTAACCTGCTTTTCTCTGCCTGCCCGCAGGGAGAAATCACCCTACAGCTGTTCTAGGAATCCCCTTTTGCTGTTCATTTTATTTTTCATCCCCTCCTTCAACCGCAGGTCAAAAGGCTCCCCCAGTTCTATCTGCCATGGCACCAGTTCAGTCTGGTCCCCTTATTCCTGGGAAGGGGGAGAGTTTAAGACCCCCCAAAAAACGCTCCACTCCCACCCAGCCAGTTTCTGCCCCTTGAACTTTGCCTCTTGCTCGAGGGTGCCAGATTTTAATTTTTTTAACAGGTTCAGCCGCCTGAAAAAGTTTGAAAACCCCCGAGGGAAGGTTGACTGGCTCGAGGGTCAGTTTCCGGGGAAAATTGGCTTTCTGAATTGCCTTCGTTTCTTACTGGAGCCAATTTTGATTTGTGGAATTTGAACTGCCTCCCGGGTAGGGGCAATGGAAGGGGTTCGATGATTTTATGACCTTGTTTAAATGCTGTTTCAACATACCCTGGATGTTTTAAACCAGTCATTTTCAAACTTGGCAAACCTAATAGAGTGTGGGGCGCTTATAAATCAAAAATCCCCAACCCCCACATGGGGGGGGTGGGGTGAGGAGGGGGGGATGTGGAAGCTCACCCTAATTCA